CAGTTTCTTGGGCTTTGGATGAGGGTTTTACATTGGTCTTCAAGGCTCTTAATTGTTTTCAGTAAGGAAGCCCTTCTTCTCACCCCAGTACTGAGGATCGAACTCTGGACCTCTTAACTTAACTTGCTAGACAAAGACTAGCAAAAGTATTCAGTTCCCTTTTTTTTTTTTTGGGTCTTTTTGAGACAGGGTCTCCCTGTAGCCCCAGCTGACCTGGAGCTCACTATGTAGACCAGGCTGGCCTTGAACTCACAGAGATTCACCTGCCTCTGCCTCCCAAGTGCTGGGATTAAAAGTGACCGCCACCACGCCTGGTTGGCTCCCTTTTGTTTTTTGACACAAGATTTTTGATGTGTGGCTTAGGATGGCCTTGACCTTTAACCCATTTTTTTGTTGTGTTTTGGCAGGATCTCCCTGTAGTCCCAGTTAGCCTTTGGTCTTTCTGAGGCAAGGTCTCCCTATAGCCACAGCTAGCCTGGGTTTGCTATGGAGACTAGACTGGCCTCAAACTCAGATCCACTTGCCTCTGCCTCCCAAGTGCTGGAATTAAAGGCGTGTGCCACCATACCTGGCTACTATTTTCTTTTTAAGATGAGTCTCAGGTAGCCCCTGCTGGCTTTGCAGCTTAGGATGACCTTGAACTCCTGTTCCTCCTGCTTGTACCTCCCTAAAACATTGCTTGTTTGTTTTCTGAAGTATCCTAGACTGGGTGTGGTGGTCCATGCCTTTAATCCTAGCAAGTCCGGTATCAGGTAGCTCACTAGCAAGGCCAGTGAGACCTTGTCTCTATAAGATAAAGAAAAATATTCTAAAAATGTCTACGTTTTTTGAAGAGTGTGGTATCAGAGACTTTGTCAGGCTTATAGAGAACCGAACAGTTGTTTTGTCAAGCACATCTGTCTCTTTTAATCTTCTGCTTCTTCATAGTAAGTTTATTTTCAAGAAAATCTCAGGGTTAGGTGGGGTAGTACACACCTGCAATCTCAGCACTTGGGAGGTAGAGGCAGGAGGATCATAGGCTACAAAGCCAACAGGGCTTCAGGAGACTTTGTTTCAAATTAATTAAAAATTATATGGGCCAGAGAGATGGCTCAGCAGCTAAAGGTGCCTGCTGCTAAGCCTAATGACCTGACTTTGACCCTGGGACCCCCCAATAGTATAAAAAGAGAACAGACTCCTAAAAGTTGTTCCCTGACCTCTGCACCCAAGCTGTAACCCACCCTCTTACACACACACACACCACACACACACACACACACACACACACACACACAATTAAAATAATATTGAGATCTGTTCCCTCTGATGATATGCTCAATATTCTGAGGTGAGTAGCAGCTGTCCTGGAACTCACTACATAGACCAGGCTGGCCTTGAACTCACAGAGATCCTCCTGCCTCTACCTCCTGAGTGCTGGGATTAAAGGTGTACACCACCACACCCCGCAATTTCTTTTCTTTAGAAGACAGTGATTGGCAGAAAATACCAGAAAACGAGTGAAAACACAATGTGATGGTAGTGACCGCAGCAACTGTAGACCCTAAACTTCTCCCTGAACTGGCTGTTGCAGGCGAAGCCGTCCACTTGGCAAGGGACTTTGCTTATGTCTGTGAAGCCGAGTTTCCCAGTAAAGCAGTGGCCGAGTATTTAAGCAGACCTCATCTCGGCGGACGCAATGAGATGGCCACCAGGAAAAGCATGCTGTTGGCGGCACAGTGAGTATGCACCCTGCATACTCCAAGGCTCCAAACCAGAGACCCTGCTGAAGGAAATGGTAGAGCATCTTTAGGGACTCAGAGTGTAACTATGTATCCCTGACTGGCCCGGAAGCAGATAGACAGACTAGGTTGACCTCAAACTCACAGAGATCCACCTGCCTCTGCCTCCCAAGTGCCACCAAGTACCTCCGATTGTTCCACTGTCCCAGGTGATTGAAATATTTTAAGATCAGGGGAATTCCTAAGAATTGTGTAGGCAAATTACTGCTCCAAAGCTACTAAAGGCAGCTTAGGAATTTCTCAGAAATCAACAAATTGGTTTTAAAATCATGTTAACTGAAACAGAACCAATGACCTCGGGAGGTGAGGCAGGAACGCAGCAATCCTTGCCTGTGCAGGAGTCTGAACATGTGCCATTGCTAGGTTCCTGATGGGGCTTAGTTACTGAACCAATTTGTACTGAAATAAGCTGATCCTCCTGACCTTGGCCAGTTGACTGGGGCTAATCCAGTTATCTTTTCTCTGGGAAGTAGAGATTAAATAAGATGATACTTGAAAAGCCATTGGCTCAGGGCCTGGCACATAGTAGGTGTTAAGTGCAAGTGTTGTGCTTGTTTCCTAGGGGCTGGGAATGTGGTTCACTTGGTAGACTGCTCACCTAGAATGCATGCAGCCCTGGGTTCCATCCCCAGCACTATGTAAGCCAGGGGTAGAGGTGCATACTTGTAATCCTAGTTCTGGGAAGGAGATGAAGGAAGTCCATAAATTCAGGGTTATCCTTGGCTACAGAGTGAGCTTGAGGCTAGTCTGGGTTACATGAGAACATCTCAGAAACACCAAATGAATAAAAAAGGTAAATATTCTTATTTCTGAGTTTAGTCTTATAGTTCTTAACCTGTCAACAGCCGGGTCAGGCTCACCAACTGACTGTCTTCACAGGCAAGTGTGTAAAGAATTCACGGACCTCCTCCAGCAAGACCGCACACCCAACGGGAACAGCAGGCCCACCCCAGTCTTGGAGACAAACATCCAGAACTGCCTGTCTCATTTCAGCCTGATAACCCACGGCTTCGGTAGCCAGGCTATCTGTGCAGCCATATCCGCCGTGCAGAACTACATCAAAGAAGCGCTCATTACCATAGACAAGTCCTATATGAACCCCGGAGACCAGAGTCCGGCTGATTCCAACAAGACGCTGGAGAAAATGGAAAAACACCGGAAGTGAAGTGGGGTAGACAGAGGCCAGAGAGTCGGAAGGGAAAGGACCGAAATGCGCCTCCATGGGAGCAGGCTGGGAAGCTTCCAGCCCCGGGGGAAGCCCTTGGCCGTTCACCTCACTTGGGACCTGCCCTCCTTGAGATTTCTCTAGTCCCGAAGCGTCTAACCTTGGACGTATCACCCCCAGGTGACAAGTACTGGTTTGGTTTGGTTTTTTAACTCATTTTTTGGAACCCCTTCCCTCTGCAAGTGGTGCTATACATTCTCGAATCTCTGTGAAAACACCCCAGGCCACTCACATACTTAAGCTGGATGTGATTTCAGATCAACACATTAATCAAATCTTTTTTTCCTAGTGGTAAGATAACGGCTGGTTTTTATGTCCACTAAAATATCTTTAAAAATTATAGAATTTATCTAGCTTTTAAAAAAAAAATTTTTTTCCCAGCAATCATGCCTTCTGGTTGGCAGAGGCTGGATATGTCTATTAGCAGCTACATGTATAGTGGTACCTGACTACCAACCCCACGTTCAAAGGGGGCCTTCTGATTTTAGGAAATTTAAAAAACAAAGCCTGCTGATTTGTTTAACTTTTCTTTTCCTTTTGTTCATTGAAAAATTTTGAATTCTATAAATAGAGTTTTGAAATGATATGTTCCTTTAAGGTACTGAAGCTTTATTTTGCATATTTATTTCAGATCTTGATTTTTTTTTTTTCTCTCCAGTAAACTTGAAGAGGGTAGGTACACAGCAACCCTGTTGCCTGTCATCCCCCAAGTCCCCACGGAGGAGCTGTATTTTGAGAAACTGTTGAGTGTACAGATTTTATTTATACATAATTTAATGGGGTTGTATATACTGGTACACTTCTTACAGCTTTTTGAGAAATGGGATTTGATTTTAATAATGACTTTTAATGGTGGTGGGGTAACCTATAACATCTCTAGATTTTTTTCAAATGCACACAGGGTATTAAGATTTAAGATGAGCCGGGTGTAGTGGCACACGCCTTTAGTCCCAGCACTCTGGGAGGCAGAGGCATGCGGATCTCTTGAGTTCCAGGCTAGCCTGGTCCACGTAGCAGAGTTCCAGGCCAGCTGGGGCTACAGGGAGACCCTGTCTCAAAAGAAAAGGATTTAAAATGATACTGGGTTTTATTCTTGGCTGGGCAGATTCTATTTCATTGGAGCTCTCTGTTTAGGAAGCACTGTCACATTCCTTTGGGCTAAATCAGGAGAACGGCATCTAGTTTGTGGGTGAAATGCCACTCAGAATTGAATACCCCGATCCTGTAAATATCCCCTAAATAATCATTGTGTGTATGATACCTGTATAATAAAAATTTTCTCCATAGAATCTGTGAAAGATTGGTTCTAACTCATTTTTTCAGTTTCTAGGATGAGTGGGATGGCTCAGGGCTAAATTGACTTGACTGTGGCTTAGTTAACATGTAGAAGCAGGAAAGCTGTGAGTGTTGCGGAAGGATCGGATAGTGAAGTTTCTCCCGGCGTAGTGCAGCTGATCTGGGTCTTTTATATTCTCATGCTGTCTTACCAAAATGCCATCCTTCTCCCTGGGGTGCTGGGAAAAAGTGAAGGGTGAGCTGTTTTTTGTCGGGGGGGGGCATTTTATTTGTTGTTTGGTGATGGGCATCCTGTGCGTCCAACATGTGCTCTGTGGCTGAGCTGTACGCACAGCCACATTGTTTGGAGTGAGTCCTGTCTGACTCCTGGTGAGAACAGCCTATGCTTCTCTGGGTGCTGTTCCGATGGACGTGAGGTCTTCACAGGTGCTCCACAGGCAGATCTCCTTGAAATCAAAGGCAAGCAGTGGTGGCATGGGACACCAAGGTCTTCAATGACATGGGAATTTCCATCTTTGGAGATAGCAAAGGCTGTCTCCTCATTTTGCCTGTGGGGTTAGTGAGGGTTTGGGTCTTCAAGTCCCTTGTGGTACAAGAATGGGGGCGCTGTATTTGCTGGCTGTCTGGATCTTGGGTACATAGTGCCCTCACTTCGTTTCAAGTTCAAGTGGCCTGGCATATCCTCCAGGAAGTGAGAGGTTAATTGTTTGGCATGTGTGGCTTTGCTTCAAAGGGAAGTGGGAGCTGGAGGATTTTCCACTTTGGATAAAGCCGTGGTTCAACTCTACTCTCGTACGCCTCAATTCATAATTCCCTCCCCAGTGCACAGCCACTCCTGACTTCACATTGGCATGGGGTGTTCTTAAGTAATTTAAGCTCTGCCAACCTCATAATTTGCTCTTGGCAGCTCATCCTTGGCCAAAGAACGTTCCCATTAAGTTGGATTTATCTAGTTGATACGTCAAGATCACAGTTGGCTTCGCTTTAGAGCAGAGAAAAGAGGTCTTAGGTTGGCAGTTATTTCTCAATCAAGACTTAAGACACTGCGTGTGAAAAGGAAGTCATGGGGGCAAAGGGCTGAGGATGATTTTCTTATCAGCAAACCTGCTTTAGGAGCAGAGGCTGGCTTTTAGAGGCTGTGTTCAAACGCATTGCCCCAAAGTCAGCAAAGCACAGAAGAGCTGTGCAGATGGGGCTGACTCCTGATTTAGACCTTAGGGGTCCTCTGGAAGTACAGGAGACTCTCCGAGTCTAGTACCCAAAGCCTCTGAGCTAGTGCTGTGTGGAGCAACCAGATATCTTTCAGGAGACCCAGGAGACTTTGCTGAAAACATTCCCAGTACCTCTGACCTAGTATAGTAAAAGAAGGTGCCCTGCCCTTTGGCATCAAGTTGGGAGACCTCTTTCTCTGGCAGGGTAGGCTTTTACTTCAAGCTTCAGGTGAAGAGTACCCTCCTTTCCCCTCTGCCTCTCTGCTTTCTGACTGCATCGGGCTATTGTGCGCACGGCTGTCTTTATTTTTTCTGTATATGTGTGTGAGTGTGTGGATGCCACACGGATGTGCATTTCTGTGGAGGTTGATGGCGGGTGTCTTCCTCCATTAGCGACTGAACCTGGATCTCAAGGAGTGGGCTAGATTAGCTGACCAGAGAGCTCCAGAGATCCTGGGTCCACCTCCCCAACACTGGGGTGGTGGCTTTTTAAATGGGGGCTGGAGATCCAAAGTTAGGACTCCCTACTTACAGCCCTTGGCAGCTCTATTTATTTATTTATTTATTTATTTATTTATTTATTTAAAATCTTACTCTAGCTGTGACTGGCCTGGAACTCACTGTGTAGCCCAGTCTGGTTTCAAACTCACACTCCGCCCCCCCAACCCCCCAGGTGCTGGGATTGTAGGCATGTACCACCATGCCTGTCTCTGGGCTTGCATTTTTTTTTAAAGGCACAGGATGTCACTGCCCTCTGGGAGAAGCACTGAACAGACTCCTTTGTCCCAGCTTGCTGAAGGAAGCCCGGTGTGTTGTCTGAAGGCACACGCTGCCCAGAATTCCATGCCCATAAGGGACGTCTTGAGACGGTATGACTGTTGGCTGGCATCCGGGGACCTGGCACCTGGAAAGTGCCCCCTTGTCCTGCGCATGGCACACCTGTGGCTTCTCTGAGGCTGGGAGGGTGTTTTCCATAGCGCTTCTCGCTTGTCTTCTGGTGTGGCAAGCACAGCAGCTACTTTCTCAGATGAGCACCTAACAATGGTGATTATTTCTTTCTTTCGGGGGGTCTAGTGTGAGGCTGAGCTCAGACCTCGACTTCCTGGATTTGAATGTCAGAAACCAAAGCAAAACAAGGTAGGGTCATGGACGGGTGAGAAACAAAGAGAGACTTCTCGAGGTCCTGGCAGAAGCTGGGGCCCTAGAGTCTCCTGCCTGCTTTCCCCCAGGAGATGCTGGCTGGCCTGCAAATCAGAAGAGGTTGCAGTTCCTCTCGTAGACCTGGGAGAATTTCTCCTGATTTTGCCTTTTGGCAGGTAGGTAGAATACAGTCCTGAAGGGGTAGCTACATCTGCCTCCATTTACAACTTGAAATGGCTGCTGTCAGCTGCGAAGGGGAAGGGAACAGTCTGTGATTTCTCAAAGGGTGTTTGGCAGAGGATGGGGCTCTCTGTGGGCCTCAAGAACCTTCACAAGGTTACTTCTAGCCAGCTGAGCTCTGTGGGCGGGTTTCCCCCCTGGTTGGAGATTGAGGAAGATTTACTGCCTCCCACACCACGGTGCTGTGACTCATTGATGTGCCTTATGGACTAGTTGTTACTCTTGAAGGCTATATTAACTTTAATCTCTTGGATGTTATATACCTTGGGTTTTCCTCTTTCATTTCAAAGCCCTCATTTGCCTTTCTGAATTCTACAAATCACACACACACACACCACCAGGAGGTGTGGTGGCACCCGGAGCCATCAAAACCCGACCCCATGCTGGCTTTGTATACATTATGTGTTACGTCCACCCTGATGGCAGGCAGCACATCACACCTTGAAAATCTTTGTCTGCCAGGAACATGGAACATGATCTTCCGAGGAGATGAACTTGACCTCATGATTTTTAAAATGAGGATTGCATTAGAATCCACACTGCATGGAACTCATGAATTGTTTTTGGCTTGGTGATAATTTCTCTGCTTCTTTTGGATAACATCTTGGTGGAAGGGGTAAAACAGTAAAGGTGGAAGGATCTGTCCAGGGGATAGCTTTGTTAAGAGTGTTTGTTCACAAAGTCCAAGCTAGCTTAAGTTTGTGTGTGCTGGTGTGTGTGTGTGTGTGTTAGATGTTTGTATTACTTGTGAATTCTCAACATTTTCCAAGGATAGGTAGATTTATACCTTAACAAATGACCCTCAGCCAGGTGTGGCAATGCATGCCTTTAATCCCAGCACTCAGGAGGCAGAAGCAAGTGGATCTCTGTGAGTTCAAGGCCAGCCTGGTCTACATAGCTAGTTCCAGGCTAGCTGGGGTTACAGGGAGACCAAGAGAGAAAGAAATGATCCTCACAAATGACAAAGTAGAGATGACACAGCATCTAGCCATTGTTAAGGCTTTTGGGCTTCATGGGTTGAAGACATGCTAAATTTGGGGCTGGAGAGATAGCTTAGTAAAGTGTTTTCCTTACAAGCGTGAGGACCTGAGGTCAGTCCCCAGAGTCCATGTAAACAAAGAATCTGCTGACTAGCTTGTACTCCTAGCACCATGGCAGTGGAGGCAGGAGGATCCCTGATGTTCAGTCGCCCCTAGTCCAGCTCCAGGCCAGTGAGAACCTGTCTCATAGGAAGCGGTCTGCATTACTGAGGGTCACACTGGAAGTTGTCCTCTTGGCTTCCACACACATGTGCCATTTGCACATGCACCCATGCAGCACATATGCCCACTTACTTTTTAAAAAAGGTATATGGGCTTGCAGAGGCTCAGTGGGTAATATCACTTGCTGTGCAATCATGAGAACCTGAGCTTGAATTTCTCACATCTGTGTAAGAAACTGGACATGGCTGCATGTGTCTGTAACTCCAGCACTGCAGGGTGAAGACAGATGGATCCCAAGAGCTCGTGGGTCAGCTAGTGTGGATGAACTAGAGAGCCTGTCTCAAGGTAAGGCAGACAGTAATAGACATCTGATGTCAAGCTCTGGCTTCCGCACGTGTGCACATAGACACGTGTACCTGCACACTTGTGTGCATGCACCACACACACAAAGATGTGCTAAGTACTGGGTGCGGTTACATGCCACCACTGTGGAAGGAGAGGTAGGCAGATGTCTGAGTTCAAGGTTATCCTTGACTGATGTTCTCAGCCAGTGCTATGAGACCCTGTCTCAAGATATACTATCAATCCCCAGTACCTCAAAATAGATCCTCTTGGAACACAGGGATGTTAAGATATGGTCAATAGTGGGGTAGGGTAGGTTTTCATCCAATGTGATTGGTATTCTTAGAAAGGGATGAGCAGGGTAGGGTAGGGTGGCTCACACCTGTAATCCCATCACCTGGGAGACTGAGGCAGGAAGATCGACAGTTCAAGGCCAGCCCGTGCTATAGAGTAAGACCCTGTTAAGAGTGTCAGACAGATGCAGAGGGGAGCGGGGACAGGGAGTGAGCCAAGGAGCAGATGGGAAGGAAACAGTTACAAGCTAGGAGTTCTATCTACAGGCTGCTCCCGAAGCTGGGGGAGGCAGGGAAGGGTTCTCAGATGGGAGAGGATGCATGGTCTCTCAGACATCTCCCTGGTAGATTTCTGGTCCGTGGAACTCTGAGGACGTGGTCATTGTTTTCGGGACTCTTGACCGCACTCGTCGCTCTAGAGGGTGAGTGCTTCCTCCGTTGTTTTCTCTGACTGTTGTTTCCGTGAGTTTCATTTGTTTGTTTTTGGATCAAGCCTTCTTCCTGGCCTTCCCCAGATTATATACTTCAGCC